AATCCTTATCACGTGCCACTTCCACGTGTCGTCTCGAGATACTGTCGCCGTTCCAGCCAGTCAGACCATGCCACGTCAGCCCAGGAGACTGATGTCACGTCAGCGGGTAGTCACCACCTCATGAAGACAGGTGTGATGACTTGCTTCCTGCCACGTCAGCAATCAATCCTACTTCCTCCAGGCCACGTCAGCATCTACGGTAGACCCTGTCGCCTATCAGCAGCACAAGAAGTGCTACATCAGGAATCAGCAACAAGGTCTTCAGACGTGGCACAACATATGCCATGCCAGCAGGGGATCGCGATGCCACGTCACTATCGCGATCCAGGCTGGCGTGCGGTATCTCCAGTCGCAGTCCCTACTGCCACATCAGCAGCCTGGTAGGGATCTCTTCTCGCCAATGAAGTTTGTACCTCGTCAACACCCCCGACAATGTCTTCTCGCCAGTGAAGTCTGTGCCATGTCAGCATTCCCGGAGTAATTCTTGCCACGTCATCACCTGCTCAACACACGTGTGCACCACTCTTACCTGCGCGCCACCTGGCGCGTGCACACGTGTTCAATCGTCATCATCAGGAGAACTGCTCTGATACCAAATTTGCAATCAACCCAGATCATGAAGACAGTTGCAACAATGCAAGTCCAGAAGAGTGTCAACCAGTTGATGATTACCAATAGTCAAAATTGTATCCAGACATAATGAGGTGAGATAATCATACACAGACGAAGGAGAGAGGAGGGAGATTAAACAAAGGAGAGGCGATAATTACAAGGCCCACTCCTGCTTCGGGCTCCCTCCTCGATCACCACCTCAACAACCAATAGTCTGAACGAGTATGTGAAGTAACCACAATGTGCCACATGGCACGTCTAATCAGTCCTTCAATGCTGAAATGTCGACATGAAGACAACCAGGTACGTATCCACGATCTCTCCACAGTCCCGATCTTCTCCTAAATAGCGATAATCAGAATAGCAATACAGGTCTCGTAGCCTCGCCTCATCAGCAAACAGAAGAACATGTGGCAGCAGCCACGTCAGCCAACAATACACGTGGCAGTAACCACATCAGCGACAGCGCATGGCAGCTGCCACGTCAGCATGCCAAGAAGACAGGTGTAAGCCAGCCACTATGTCGGACCAGCAGCTCGTCGCCAAAGTCACAATGTCGGCATAAGCCAGCATCCAGCCAGCGTCGCAGCATCGAGCCAGCGTCGCAGTCAACGTGTGAAGTCAGCGTCAAAACGCAAGACAGAATGAATGAATGTCGAAGCCAGGAGGTCAGTGCTTATGTAACCTTGATGCGGGGTCTGGACCCCGGATGCCGCATCCCTCAGCCGTCCAGATCTCAATGCAAGCGAGGGCCCCGATTGGTCTGAAACCGAATTTTCCTTGGCCTGGATGTTGTCTGGGTACCTGCGCACTAACAAGTGAGTGTATCCAACCAAGGGCCTGGGTGCGGTACCTTTGACTGTACAATTGACTTTGACCCTTGAATTTCCATTGTGCAGCGTTTGGTCCCATAACCAGCGCAGTAGCCTCAAGTCTGGGCATGTTTCCCGACTCAGGTCTGCGTTGCCTGGGGCTGAGTTCTAGGCCCCAGACTACTTTTGAACAGGGTTACTGCACATGTGAGTGAGACTTTCTCAAGCACATGCTTGAAGCTCATGAATACAACCAATAATGAATTGGAATGTCATCAAAACTTAGCAAAGTAGGTGAAAGGGATCATAAAACACTAGCGCAAGCATGGACAAGAGTTTGCAAGGCGGCTCCAACTCTGCCACACCCCCTGACAATATAATGTGAACAACTGCAACTAATATTGTCATATTAATATATTTACAATAAAGGAGGAAAGAGTGAGTCTAACTCACCCAAATGCATGAAATCACAAGGGGAGAAGCGGCGATTCACATGGGAGTGAAGAAAAGGACAAAACATGAGATAATCATCATCAAAACACTAGATTAGTCAAAGACAAGAGTTGCGATTTGCTCCTTCTGATCCATGCATGTGAGTGAGACTTGTTGAAACACATGCTTGAGGTTCATGAATACAACCAAGAATGAAACAGAATGTCATCATGTGAGAGTTGAGTCATGCATGTGAGTGAGACTTGCTCAAACACATGCTTGAGGCTCATGAATACAACCAAGAATGAAACGGAA